CACTTAATTGTGCTCATGGGGAACCTGTACGAAGTCCAATAGGCAGTGATTAAATAGAGCAAGGGGATACTGAGGGGTTTAAAATCAAGAAAGCTTTGAATCAGGCTTCTATCCTTTCACTATACTTATTCAGTCTGTATGTTGAGCAAATAATCTGAGAAACTGGACTATATGAAGAAGAACATGGCATCACCTGCAATTTGCAGATGACACAACCTTGCAGGCTTGAAGCACTGATGAAGATCAAAGATGACAACCTTCAGAATAGATTGCAATTCAATGTAAAGAAAATAAAAATCTCCACAAGTCAATCAACAGACAACATCATGATAAACGGAGAAAAGATTGAAGTAGTCAAAGATTTCATTTTACTTGAATTCACAATTAAAGCTTATGGAAGCAGCAGTCAAGAAATCAAGGGACATACTGCAGTGGGCAGATTTGCTGCAAAAAACCCCTTTAAAGTGTTAAACTCACCAGCTGCTTCTTGGAAGCCCTAGACAGGGGTCACTATAAGACGGAACCAGCTGGATGTCACTTAACAACAAAACCAAAGTGTTGAAGAGTACAGATGTCACTTTGAGGATTAGGGTATGCCTGACTCAAGCCATACATATATGTTAAAGCTGGACAGTGAATAAGGACGACTGCAGATGAGTTGATGCATTTAATTGTGGTGTTGGTGAAGAATTTGGAAAGTACCATGGACTGCCAAAAGAACAAACAAATATATCTTGTATGATGTACAGCCAGAATGTTGCTTGGAAGTGAGGATGTTGAGACTTGGTCTTAAATACTTTGGACATGTTGTAAGAAGGGACTGGGCCCTTGGTAAAGTGGAGGATCAGCAGGAAAGAGGAAGACCCTCAGTGAGATGGATTGGTACAGGGGAAGGAACAATGGGCCCAAACATAAAAACACAGCCAGCTGTGTTTGGTTCTGTTGTGCATAGGGTTGCTATGAGTTGGAGGAAATTGGGTAGCACTTACCAACAGCAATGACTAGTAATGTTGTTCTTTTTTGTGTGGACTTATTTGCCGTAAGTGTATCTTGCTTGGTGAAGCATCTGCTCAAAAAAGTAGTTAAAAGTAAACAAAAAACCTTCCATAGCAACTGGGCTTATTTCTATGTAGTCCTTTTCACCCTGTTGTCTGAGTACTTGTCTATTTCTACTACTTATGGGTTTTTGTGGGATTGTATTTCATTCTTTATATTATCTCTATTGCTTTGGATAGTAGATAAATAGTGATTGAATGATCAACCAATAAATATCTTAGTGCCTACTACAAGCCACAGTTTTTGCATACATTCATTTATATATTAATTCCAGTTATTAAACAAGAACGTTTTGGATGGGCTGGGGAGAAGTAGATGAAAAGAAATAAGTAATCAGTGGTAGTAAGACAAATTGAAGAAAGCTCTTAATACAGGGTCAGGAGAATACACCGAAGACAAAAATACTGTGAAGTCTTCATATTTCTTTTGGCATGGCATCAAATATCAATTATCTACCAACTCCCTTTTTCTCTTTCCACCACAAGCAACACCGTCATCCAAACATTACTCATCAGCATTCTCAAACCAACTACCAAAACATTCCAGAAGAGCCAAAAGAAATTTGAAAGATTGTATGTTATGACATTTCCATCTTTTCTTTATAATTAGAAGTTACACAAGTATAAATTTTTATGATTATACACAGGGTATGTTGTTGTCAGGTGCCATCTTTAGACAGCATAAGAGACGACTATACACATGGACCTCGCCAGATGGAACACATAGAAATCAAATTGACTACATCTGTGGAAAGAGAAGATGGAAAAGTTCCATATCACCAGTGAAGACAAGGCCAGGGGCAGACTGTGGAACAGACCATCAATTACTGATATGCAAATTCAAATTAAAGCTGAAGAAAATGAAAACAAATCTATGATCCTGAATTTATCCCTCCTGAACTTAGAGATCATCTGAAGAACAGATTTGATGAATTAAACACACAGGGTATGGGCCAGTTTAATTCATCTCTACGTTCCATGGATTATGTTTTCTGAAATATATTCATTCAGATGTCCATTATAAGAAAATTATTTGTGTGTTATATCCTTTGCTATAAAGGGATTTTTATGCTCTGCAATCCCTAGAGTACAAATTTTATTTTTTTTAAAAGCTGAAAATATAATAGAAATCGATACACTAAAAAAAAGAAAAAATCAAATAAAATTAAATGTCACTGTTTTCACTTCAATTGTTTTAAATCAGGTTTGTTGAGGTATAATGTACATCAAATTTTACTTTTTTGGTGGTGGTGGTGTTATATGCCGTGGAGTCAGTTCTGACTCATAGTGACCCTGTACAGGGTTTTCGAGATTGTAAATCTTTACGGGAGCAGAAAGCCTCATCTTTCTCCCGCGGAACAGCTGGTAGTTTCGAACTGCTGACCCTGAGCTCGGCAGCCCAGTTGGTAACCACTTTGATGTGACAACAAATTTAGTTGATGACCAATACCAGAAACAAGATATAGGATATTTCCATCCTTTCAAAAAGTTTTCGTGCTCCTCTGTAGACACGCTCCCCTCACTAACTTCCCCATCTCTACCCCAATACTGATCTGTTTTCTAGCCCTGTAGTTTGAAGTTTTCCACAACTTCATATAAGTGAAATACAGTATAGTCATTTGAGTCTGTTTCTCCCACTTAGCATCATGTTTTGAGATTTCAATCACATTTTATACTTTTTATTACTGAAGACTATCTCATTGTAATTTTATTTTCCATTTACTAGTTGATGGGCATTTGAGTTGTTTCAAGGCTTGATGATAACGAATAAAGCTGCTGTCAACATTTTGTTGTTCTTAAGTGCTATTGAGTCAGTGTTGACTCACAGTGACCCTGTGAAACCTAGGGTTTCTTAGGAATGACTGGTGGGTTTGAACTGCTGACCTTGTAGTTCAAACTGAACTTAGGGCTCAGTACTTATCCTTCAGCATATTCATGATAAACAGAGATGTTTTCATTTCTCTTGGATAAATACTTAGGAATGGGATTCCTGGGTCATATGCTAAGTTTATGTTAAACTTTGTGAGAAACTATGAAACCACAATTTTACATGTATGAGAATTCCAGTTGCTCTGAATCTTCTCTTACACTTTGAGTCTAGCAGTCCAGAGCTAGACTTTGTAATTCTATAAAGATTTTATTATAGTTTTACTTTGTGTTTCTATAAAGATTAATGCTATTGAGCATATTTTCATAGGCTTATTTGCCATTTGTGCATCTTCTTTGGTAAAGCGTCTTTCAAAACAAGTGGCTTGTAAGATATCAATGAAGAGGCACATGAATTGAAAGAGGGATAGTGACTATAGTTTCTGGACTATGGTAGTATGTGGTACCAGCTTAGACAAGGACAGATACTGAGGAAGGCTGCTACTTGGTAGACATAGATAGCTAATACAGGATCTCATCAAGGAACATAAGCTAGTTTTAGACATGTTATCAGGAGGGGCCAGTCCCTGGCGAAGGACACTGTGCTAGGTAAAATGGAGGGTTAAGGACAAGGAGGAAGGCCCTTAACAAGACGCACTGACAAACAGTGACTGCAACAGTGGGCTCACACACAGTAATTATGAGTGTGATGCAGAACTGGGCAGTGTTTCATTCTGTTGACATAAGGTTGCTATTAGTTGAAACCAACTCAGTGTCAACCAACAACCCCTCCCTGTCCCACCCCACTATTGTTGTTAAGTGCCAGTCAGTCAGTTCTGACTCATAGCGACCCATATAGGGTTTCTGAGGGATAGCTGGTGAGTTTGAACCAATGACCTTACAGTTCAAAGCGATGTTTCGGTCCAGTGTTTATCCTACAGCACCACACCAGAACTCAATGTTCTGAGTAAGAAATCGTTCTTGCCAGGGTATTGTTGTTAAGTACCACTGAGTCAGGTGAGTTTCAACTGCCAACTTTGCAGTTCAAACCAACCTTTTGGGCCAGTGCTTATCCTACAGTGCCACACCATGAATCCTAACCGGGAATCACCACCCCACTATGTTAGCAAAATACTAAGCAGTATCAGGATGGATTCTTTCTGGTTGAGGGATGTGTGAATGGGCCGACCCTGCAGAACTAACAGGTCTTTAGTCCGAACTACTGAGAAGAGTTGGGTAAGGCAGGGACCTAGACCTAGAGGTATTCCTTTGGTCATATTAGCGTCACTGTGTCCTGAGAGAGCTTCTCAAGTTTACTTGTTAGACATTAAATAATTCATATTGGAGTGATAGATTTTCTGGGCTGGTAAATATTAGAAGATACCTCTTAAGGCCCTAACAATTGGACAGAAGCAATATAATAATGGGAAGAAAATGAGAGCAGGAAAAAATACGAAGTTGTGTAATTGGAAAATGTGATATTTCCAATTAATTTTATTTTTGGAGTCTTAATCTGGATATTTAAAAAATTATAGGAACAAAATAGTTTGAGGTTGAAGCCAGAGAGCTGTAAAGCTCTCCACAGATTGCGTTTTTAAGAAAGAGTAAGGTTGGCAATGCACAGACTTCTTTCTTAGTGATCGTACTGGTAGTTTGTACACACAAGAATTAAAAACTCACTTCAGAGAAGCCAGAACTACAGTCTGTAGTAATTCTTCGGTCTGAAGAGGTTTTGGATGAATCAACCTTCAAATGCTGTATTTTGCTATTAATGTAAAAAATGTTTTCTGACTTAAATAAAGGCAATTCTGACCAAAGTGGATAATTTGCATCAGTAAGAAAGTTTATTGAAATTCATCAATAAATGAGAATAGAAAGTTTTTCTTTTCATCAAAGAACACTTTCTGGTAAAGCAAAAAGAAGAAATACAGAAACCACAAAACACCTTTTAGACACTTATTTTCAAGGAGTGAACCTGTTTCCATAGACAATTAAGACGGAAGTGTTTTCTTGGAGATGTTGTTTTCCAAGCATCTATAATGGCCCGTGTGTAGGGAGACTCTTTCCTCTGGATGTAGCTTAATAGTAATGTTTCTTGGTTTCTGATTCAACCATAGACGAAAGGACTCTACCATCAGGTGTCACTTCTTCAATAATTGTCTTGATTACTCTGGCCTTGTTAGTATCTGTAAGTGAAGAACGAAAAAGCAATTGGAATTCAGACTAAACAATCTGTGTGCGTCTTTGCTCATTAACAACGAAATACTGCTACCACTAATGAAAAAAGCAAATAGAACTCTTTAAAAGTCTTATACTTTTAAAACAGTTCTAGAGTTTCAAAAGCCACCAAATCATCACATAAAGTTAAAACTGATTCTGATTACCCCAGCTAGTTTCGGCTGACCTTGGTCCTTTTGAAGAGGACTCTCCACCACCGGAGGAGGAAGAGGAAGTCTTGTAGCCTCCACTTCCGCCCTGGCCACCGCCAGAACCGCCGCCGCTAGAGCTGCCGCCGCCGTAGCTGCCGCCACCGCCGGAACTTCCGCCGCCGTAAGAGCCGCCGCCGCTGCCGCCGCCGGAACTGCCGCCGCCGTAAGAGCCGCCGCTGCCGCCGCCGGAACTTCCGCCGCCGCGGCCACCGCCTCGTCCACCGCCATAGGAGCCACCACCGGAACTACTGAGGATCGGGGGAGGGTCACATTCAGTTACTCAATCATTGGACAAAATAAGTGTCACTAGAAAATGAGCAAACCCTGTCGGCTATGTATATGAAACCCATCCGTTTACACAGTTTTATAGACACAAGTCTTAAGTTATGAGGAGTTAACAGTGTTGTTGCACTGTTTTTTGTTGTTCTCTGAGCCTTTGAGGTTTTGGAGAATCCTTACTAGCTGGACTATTAGATAAAAGCACAGCTTGGGATATATGAGGGGGCTTGAACAAGTTAATGGGAAAAAATATATATATTTCCCAGTTTACCTTCCCTCTCCTTCTAGGAGGCTGCGGTAGGTTTGAATTTCATTCTCCAGTCGGATTTTAATATCCAGGAGCTGTTGGTACTCGGTATTTTGGCACTCGGTTTCAGCTCGAATCTGTTGAAGTTGTTCCTCCAGAGAACTGATCTGGCCTTGAATCTGTGAGAGCTGCACGCAGTAACGACCTTCTGTTTCTGCCAAGGAAGCTTCCAGGGACTGTTTCTGAGAAGAGAAAATATTGTGTGATTTAGAAGTTTCATTGATTAATTAAGTGCAGTAAAACTTAATTCAATGATTTAATAAGAAATTATATGGGTGAATAAAGAAATGAATTTTTGCTTTACGTGTAATGACATTTCAATCTCAGCACTTTAGGTCAGTGTCAATACCATACCATTGATTCTCTCCACCCCCAATTTAGGATATCTAATTTTATTCGTTTTTTTCTTACCCTTACTGCATTTTTCTGTTGTGTTGCATCTTATTGCTGCTATTCTTATGTTAATATGAAGGTTTATATAATAAAGTTGAAGTCATTTAAAGAGAGCAGTATTAACATACCAGGGCTAGTTGAGACTGTAGTTCGATTTCCAAAGCTTGAACACTGCGTCTTAATTCGGTAATCTCAGATTTGTAGCTGGACATTTGTTCAATGTTACTGTCAATTTCTGTAGTCAGTTCCTTGCTCTATAGTATTGAAAAACAGGAGGGAAAGGTGAGGCAATTCTGAAGTGAGAACTTCTGAAGGCTTCGCTCTGAAGGAAGATTGACTTTACCTTTTCATTAAACCAGGCTTCCGCATCTTTGCGGTTTTGTTCAGCAAGTTGTTCGTATTGGCTTCTCATGTTATTCAGAAGTTCGGTCAGATCGACACCTGGGGCAGCATTCATTTCCACATTCACGTCACCAGTGGATACATTCTGAAGGTCTTTCATTTCCTGTTCAAGGGATTAAGACCGATTTAATGACGTCACAGTTACCACAATGAGCCATTTTTTTTTTCTTTTACAAGAGGAAGTGTAACTTTTGCATTACCTCTTCGTGGTTCTTCTTCAGGTAGGCCAACTCTTCAGTCAGGCTCTCAATCTGCATCTCCAAGTCGGCCTTGGTCAGGGTCAGCTCGTCCAACACTCTGCGCAGGCCGTTGATATCGGCCTCCACGCTCTGGCGTAAGGCGACCTCGTTCTCATATCTGAAGCAAGCGTGATACAAATGGTAGGTATAACTTAGGGAGGGAAGTGAATATTGGCAGAGACTATTTAAAAGTTAATATAGAATTGATTTTATATCATGGGAGCATTTATCATTCGCTAACTCATAGAAATATTTAGTGGTTTGATGCAAAGTTTTGTTGTTATTAATTGCCATCGAGTTGATTCTGAATCATAGCGACTCTGAAGGTTTGAACCACCACCCTTATGGTTAGTAGTTAAATGCTTATCTTAAAGTACTCCCAAAGTAGTTTTGTAGTTAATTCAAATGTATTTTCTTCCTTGAATATTTTGCCAAACAGGTAATATTGAAGTAGGAAATTTCTCAGGAAACTGCAGTAATATTTCAGTTTTAATGAATTCAAGAAAATGTAATGCTGTTGTGAGGCACCCAAAGCCATTGTGACAACATGGTTATCTTACTTCATTCTGAAGTCATCCGCGGCCAGCCTGGCATTGTCGATTTGGAGCAGGACACCAGCATTGTCAGTGGTCAGGTTGAGGATCTGAAGGGAGAGGTACACTTACTCCCAAAGTGCTCACATACAGAGATGGCTTTTATGGTGCCACGCAGGCATTTTTATGCTGTTTCTTATATGTTTTTTGAGAAAGTTTTATATTAAATATAAAATAGTACAGGCTTACTTATATGCTCAAATTTAAATCATTTGTTCTCTTCAAGTTTCTCTAGCCGCCCATTTCTGTGTTATCCCTTTCTGTTAACTAACTGAATGGTATAAATGTGCTCCTGCCAGGGTACTTCCCTTTGCTATACTATTTTAGCAAATGTTTAATGGACTGACCCCTGTCTTTGCTTGGACTTATTATTATAAACACTTCTCAGTAAATATAGTCCAAACTGGTACACAGTAGGTACACTCATCAATCTGAATAATGCTTTGTTCTGACTCATTTAATAAAGCTGTGAGCTCCTACATTTGATTCACTGTGTGCCCATTAAGACCTGAAGCATTTTCAGTAAGCTTCCATCTTGCTAGTTTGCCATGGCCATAGCCTCACAGGGATTCATTCTAAATAAGACTAGATTCTCTCTGGAAGCAGGAAAGTACCAGGTCAAACACAGTCAACAGTCAGTCACATTGTGCTCCTTTTAAGATTCATCCATCTCAACGGCATGACTAGTGAATCGACTTAAAGTTGGACTTAAACATGCCCCTTACCTGATTTTTAAGGTCTTCGATGGTCTTGTAGTATTTGCTGTAGTCACGAGGCTCTCGCTGGCCTGAGTTGCCATGCTTTTCATACCACTCCTTGATTTTGCCTTCTAGCTCATAGTTTGAGTCTTCCAGAGCCCGGACTTTGTCCAAGTAGGAAGCCAGGCGGTCATTCAGATTCTGCATGGTTACCTTTTCATTTCCGGAGAGAAGGCCACCATCTCCTCCAAATCCACCACCAAAACCACCTCCATAGCTGCCCCCACCGAAGCTGCCTCCACCGAAGCTGCCTCCTCCTCCATAGCCCCCACCGAAGCTACCCCCACCGAAGCTGCCCCCACCGAAGCTGCCTCCTCCTCCGTAGCCCCCACCTAAGCTGCTACATCCATAGCCCCCACCGAAGCTGCCTCCACCTAAGCCTCCTCCTAGTCCTCCTCCCATTCCTCCTCCGTAGCCACCTGATGAGCCCCCAAAGCAGCCCCCACTAGAGCTCCCCCGGCTAAAAGAGCCACAACTGAACCCTCCTCCTGAGCTGTATCCTCCACCACTGGAGCTTTTGGTGGTGGAAATTCTGAGGGATGACCCTCCTCCTCCTCCACTCCGGGAGGAAGAGTACTGCTTGCTTGAGCCGTATCGAACAGACATGATGATGCTGTCGAGGTTAGGCCAGTGAGTGCTGCTGTCCACCGACAGTGACAAGCCCTTATATACTGAGAGGGTGTGTCCCGTGGGCATTGGGCTTTGCTTACTGGTATGGTTCTCTTTTTGTCAACTTAGCATCTTGGGTTGATGGTTGCATAAGTTATCTTCATTAATAACCAATCCCAATAGTATGGTTTTGAATTTGCCCTAAGAACAAGCAAGAGGTTTCCTATGTTGCAACTGAAAATGGGTGGAGTTCAGATGAGCCTATCTTTCATTATGCATTTTCACCTTTTGAAGAACATTGGGCAACTGCTATACTCCATTTTTCTCAGCACTAGTTTAGGGTGCTCAGGATGTTTGCAAATATAGATAACAAAGCATTTTAGCTACAAAATTATAGCTAAGTAAGATTTTTCAAATTCGTACTTCAAATGGTTTTAATGTTTTGGAGCAACAAATAGCATAAAGTCTGCCAAAATCATGCTAGTGATAAGGATCTTGTAGAAAACTGTAAACAACTCAAAAGAAAAAACCCAAAACCATACTCTAAATGGTTAGTGTTGAAAGCATCTCGTTAAAGCCATAAAACCCCAATTTAGGATATGTTATGTATATGTATTAGTGGATCTTGTAATTTATTTGGAGAATCAGAATATAGTATATTGATGTAATGACTGAGGAACTTTGCAACTTAATGATGCCATTATTTTTAACGCTGAAAAAACTGCAGTCATGAAATGATCCTGGGGTTTCTTAGACTTTAAAACTCATCATAGTAAAGACTTTCATGAATGCCATCATGCAGAAATTCTTAGCATAAGAAATGAAGAACTAACTTCCAGTACTTTGTTTTCATTAAGTTCTGATTGAATAAAAGGGTGAAATTATCCCCATCAAAGGAGAAGCCTGAAATCATATAAATCCAGACTTGAGAATGCTATTTGCCTTCAAATTATTACCTAAATGGCACATATTTCCAAGCCAGATTCTGTTTCTCAGTAGAAAACATTTCCTTGGAGATACTGAGTATAGAATTTGGTAAAATATATGGTCTGTTTTAAACATTTAATTTTAAGTATTTCACGGGGACTTGAATATATAATATAAAATAATTTTCTGTCTTCTTATAGACTATATGATATTGTTGCATTCAAAATATATTTACGTATTGTTGTTATTAAGTACCATCAATTCCAACCCATAGTGACCCTGTATAGGGTTTCTGAGGAGCAGCCGGTGAGTTTGAACTGCCAACCTTGTGGTTCAAACCGATGTTGCAGTGCAGCGCATTAACCCCCAGCGCCTCACCAGGACTCCATATTTATACATATGTTGTTGTTGTTGTTGTTAAGTACCTTGGAGTTGGTAAAGTTCCGAGGCTGTAAATCATTACGGGAGCAGAACGCCTCAACTTTCTCCCAGACATATATCTGTACTTAAACACATTTGACAATTTTAATTTTAATTATAATGTGATTTAAAAAAAAATTTCTGAAACAATGTGCTGAGGTAGGGATGGTAGTTGTTCTGTGTAGTTTATAGACGAGGAAGTTGAAGATAAAAGAGCTTATAACTTTGCCTAAAGATATATAATAGGTGGTGTAGCTGGGATTAACAACATGGCTATACCAGCATGCACTGATAGTCATGTAACCTCTGCTCTGTATTACAGTGGATTTGCTCTGATAGAACGGAATGGTTTTCTTTTCGTAAACTTCTCCACGTGGCCAACAACAAAAGCAAACAATAATATGGAATCATGAAAATGTTGAAAGGGTAGAGTATTTGGCACACACTTCCATTACTAGTACATTTTCAAATTAAATTTATAGCTGCACATCCCAATTTATGACAACTACAGGAATAATTTCTGCAGGGAAAGGGAATGTGGCTGGGCGTATTAATGAAGAGTTGGTTGTCAGAGTTCAGGTTACTACTCAACAAATTGCAGCTCCTCCAACTTGTTAGCACATGCAAGTGGGGCAGTAGTTAAAAGAAAAAAATATTAAATACACCCATGGGAATTGATCTTGAATGAAGATAACATGCCGTAAAGGGAGGTTGTGACTAGAAATTAGAATAGGGGAAAAAAAAGATTCCAGTAGGTTCAGGGAGGATGTTGAAGCCTTGGTATTAATGAAAAGTTTTTAGAAAAAAATTAAAGAGAAGTTTTGATAGTTTTTACCTGTGATGATCACAGATGGAGAGATCTTAATCTTACTAGTTTTACTTTGGCATTGCCGTTTTAATTTTTATCTCCAATGGGAAAATAAATAAATCTCAATCTGGTTTTAGTTAGCAAGTGGCACTGAGAAATCTCTGTTGCAATAATATTAGTGAGATGAGAAAGGAGACCTTTGCATAAAAGTACGTGGAAACACGTTAGTATTGTTAAGTGCTGTGGAGTCCCATCTGACTCAGTGACCCTGTATAGGGTTTCCTAGGAGCGGCTGGTGGGTTTGAACTGCTGACTTTTCTGTTCAAAGCGACCTTGCGGTGCAGTGTTTATCCTACAGTGCCACACTTGGACTCCAAATACCAATATGGAGGGCCTCTAATATCCATTGTAACATTTCATTTGATGTTATTACCAAAGATTACTTACTAACTTGTATACTGGACATACAGATTTGTCTTTATTTGCTCGTTCACTAGTTGAAATCATGCCAAAGCATGAAGAAAATTACAGAGGTGCCAGGTAATAATTCTACAGCTAAATTGGATGAAAATTTATGAAGGCCATTTCTGGCCTTGGCACACTTACCTGCCAAATCCATGGTAACTCTAATTTTGCTGTTCTCAATTCTGTGTCTCTATATAAAGCACACTGGAGTCCTGGCATGGTGTCTTTGTAAAGCACTGGACTTCAAGGTCGGCGAGTCAAACTCACCAGCTGCTCCTTGGAAACCCTATACAGGGCCATTATGAGTCAGAACAAACTCGACGGCACTTACAACAACGATGTAAAGTACAGTGGTATTATGTGCCATGGAGCCGATTCTGACTTACAGTGACGCTGTATAGGGTCTCAGAGGCTATAAATCTTTAGGGAAGCAGAAAGCCTCAGCTTTCTCCCATGGAACCACTGGTAGTTTTGAACTGCTGGCAATGAGGTTAGCAGCCTGATTCATAAACACTACACTACCAGAGCTGCTAGTGCCCTAGTACACTAGTAAATGTTCATAAGACAAAACGATGAATGGAATCCAGACGCTGCCTCTAAGAATTTTAGGATTGGAAAGGCTAAGGAAGGAGCATCATGAATGCCACGGGAGGAGAGAATCTAGACAAGGTGAGGTAGTCACCAGAAGTCAAGGAGAAAGGCGATTGCAGAAACCATTGGCATTTTCCAGAGGACAGGGTTAGTAGCGTAGTAGTGGGCCAATCCATGATGCATAATGATTGATGCCTTTGCAATTGGTATTTTGTTTTTATACTTTTATCTAGTTTATCAATTTCTTCTTTAGTTACTTCTAGATATTAAGCCACTGTTAGGGTGGGGATAGGTGCCAGTCTAATGAGATTTATTTTCCTAGGACTCCTGAAATCTTTAGTTTGATTCAGCTTTGTTGTCAGCCTGACTTGTCTCACCATTGGGTTTTGGATCTTTTGTATTTCTTATTTTGCTTCAACTAAAAGCCTCTTTTTAAGTTCCAGCTGAAAATGCTAATTGTTTCTTTGATTGAGGAACTGAGATAGGATAAACAACTTAAGAAGCTGCAGAAGGATGAATCTGGTAATAAATGCAGGTCATGTCTCAAGAAGACAAGGCAGTGATCTAAATGTTTCAGATTTTTTATTGTTTAGTACATAAAATTGGGAGCTAGGCATTTTCTACCAAGTGTTCCGTGACAGTGCAAAATGCTGAACGTGCGTTTGTGATTGTTATCCTAGAATCAAAGCAAAGTGGGCAATTGTTGCAACTGCATGGTGGATTTGGTCCTTTCCTTTCAGATATCTGGGTAATTAGTACAATATTGTCTTTTAAAAGATATTGATAAGGTTATGGATCCTCATTGACAAACTTCTAAACCTCAGGTATCTAGAATCTGAAGACACCTCCATTACATACAATTTTTTTGTAACTTCTGGTCCAGCATTGTGATGGGAACCATGAAAGAATGGGAACTCCATGAAGTCTTCAGAGTGTAGTGTATCAGAGTCATTACACAGGTGGGTTCTGAAGCCAGACTGGTTGGGTTTCAATTCACATAGTGACTCTGTCTTAGTACCCTCATCTCAAAAATAGGGGTGATCATTTTCTTTCCATACTGAGTTGTGTTCCATACTGCTGTTGTGGGGAGTTAAATGAAATAATAAGTAGAAAGGATTTAGAAAAGTGCCTGGCATACTTAGAATGCTGTTAAGTACTGTTGAGTCAGTTCTGACTCATAGTGACCCTCTATAGGGTTCCAAGAGCAGCTGGTGGGTTTGAACCACTGACCTTGTGGTTAGCAGTCCAGTGCTGATCCTAGAGTGCCACACCAGGAGTCCATACAAGGAATAATGCTTCATAAATAATTTTGTTGTTATTACTATTCCTGCAATTTTTGGTATTTTAGAACCACAGTAGGCCAACCAAATGTGAATGGATGAAAGGAGAGATTTGAAGCTGGAAAATGGTTAGGAGGCAGTGGCTAGGGAGGTGGGGGGGTGGCTTTTCAGTCTGATAACTTTGCATTAAACTTGCCATCTCGTTTTTCTGAATGATGAATGTCTTCATTTTTAGCTTCATTCTGTTCTTTGCCTCCTACATGTATCAAGTTGCTAATTTTGTCTTTCATTTCTTTTTCTTTCTTTCTTTTTAACATGCTTGTCTCCTTCAGTCTAATCTCACTGCAGCTATCCCCATCTGGCCTTTCGCCGTCCCTCCTGGATGACTTCACCAGCACTGGAAGTGGTTTTCTTGACTCAGTGCTACCACTAAGACCTATCCTGCTAACTGCCACAAAAAGAATTTTCTTGAAACAGTATTGTCATCAGTTCATCAGCATATCCCT